CAAGCAATGCACCTGATGAACTCATTACTACGGTTGGGGGGTTGGCCACGTTTGTCCAGAACATGAGCCAAGAATGGCGAGAATATCGGCAACAGAACCCGAACCAACCCCAAATGCCCGACAATGCTGAGGAAATTTCCCGACGGAGGTTGAAAGACTTCCGCAACTTCCAACCACCTACATTGGAAGGTGGAGATGACCCTGAGGCTGCAGCAAGATGGCTGCAGATGATCGAGCACATATTCGAGCGAATGGGATGTCCAGAGGAACAGAAGACCGACTACGCCTCATACCAGCTGATGGGAGAAGCTTTGACTTGGTGGACCGGTGCGAGGGCTCTGCTGCGAGCTCAAAATGTTGATCTGACTTGGGCCGTGTTCAGACGAGTCTTCCTAGACAAGTATTTTCCGAAGGCTATGAGAAGAATGAAGCACACTGAGCTGCTATCACTAAGGCAGGACAACATGACTGTCAATGAATACATTACTACATTTGGGCAGCTGATGGAATATGCCAACTTTGATCGGAACATCTATGACGAGGAATGGCAGATTGAGAAATTTGAAAGCGGACTACATCCAGAGATCCGTAAGCTCATCCTGACTTCTGCAAACCGTACACTTCCAGAATTAATCAATCAGAGTCGGCAAGCGGAAGGCATTATCAATGAAGCAAAGAATCTGTTCGAGCAACTAGTATAGCCACCGGGAGGAAGCAAAGACGGCCGTTTCTTCAGAAGGAATACCGGAATGAACAAAGGCACTGGCCCGCAAATGCAAGCTCGAACTGGAAATTTCAAGAGGAATAATGCTCCTGGTCAATCATCAACCGGACGACAGAGTTCCAATGCTTGTGCTACGTGTGGAAAGTATCATTCTGGAGTCTGCCGGCGCGAGAACAACTTATGCTACAGGTGTGGACAGTCGGGACACTTTGTTTCTGATTGCCCCCATAATCCTAATCGACCCCCTACCCAAACTAGAGTGTTCACTCTTGATGCAAATGAAGCTCAGAAACATCCAAACTTGATCCGAGGTAATGTAATTTTGAATGGTCATCCCCTTTCTGTTATCATGATTCTGGAACATTAAGTTCTTTATTGCATGGCACACTGCAATTGGACTAGGTCTCACCCCAACTCCTTTACCTTATGAGTTGAAAAAAAAAAAAAAAAATTCGTACTTCTACTGAAGGATCTTGTACCGTATCATAAATCTGTAGTAGTTATATTCCACATTAGAGAACAACTTTACAAACCCTTAAGGAGATTCACTCAGAAATTCTCGCAATTAGTACAGCCTCTTACCCGTCTCACTCGGAAGAATATACCTTTTGAGTGGACTGATACTTGTGAAGAATGTTTCATGGAACTCAAAGAGATAAGGAAATAGTCCATAATTTGGTTGGTATCCTAATCTTGTTAAGTACATTGTAAAAGGATAGACTTGGTTACTTTGGACTTAGAGAATCTTAGACAATAGCTACAGAATAAAGGAACAAGTTTAATACTTTTGGGAGCATGACAAATAGAAGTAGTACCTTGGAATCCTGGTATCCCTAACTATGCCCTTAATTCCGCTGCATAGATGGAACCTTATTAGAAGTGCCCTCTAAACCCTAAGCTTTAGACAAAAGTACTATTCATCAATGTAATTCCTTTTTCGCAAGTTAGTGGCCAGTATTGTGTTGATAACTTAGTTATGCCGCTAAATTTTTATACCACAATAGTGATGGACTAAGATCCTTAGAAAATAAGAACATTTAATGAAATTCGGGTAGTGATGAAATCCGATAATTTTACGAATACTCTCCTACATTGTAAATTGGAATATGATGCGTTCTGTTCTACTTACTCAATTTCCTGTAGATTATTAAATTGTGAAATTCCACCCATGATGTTTTTCAAGTCAGGTAATTAATTGTGAGGTGCTTACTGAGTTGAAATCTGTCATAGGAAAAGAATAAATAGGGAATGGATAAAATTCTAAATGGTAACATGTAAGCTGAAAAAAAAGAAAAAAAAAAGAAAAAAGAAAATAAAATAATAAATAAATAAATAAATATTCCCGACCATACCAATAAAATTTTTTGTTACATATTGTTTGAGGAATATGTCAGGTAGAAGTTAGTGGTAAAGCCCTGAGTCTCAGTATGGTTTAGGGATAATTGGAGTCCTCGTGGATTAAGATTATATATTGGTTTCACTTCGTCACAGTTGCAGTGTGAATTGATGTGGTTTAAAGAGAACCAGACAATTGTGTGCTTACGATGATGATTAGGGAAGTTTTTATCTTTTCTGTATGAGTATGATTTATTTATGATATCCTGAGTTAATTAATGATTTTGATAGCTGCCTGGCCGTATGCGATATAAAGTCTTGCATAATTGCATGTGGGGTTGGCATTCGCCTTGAGTAGTTAACGGAATTGGTAGGACGAAGTTTGGGGACAAACTTCAAATTTGGTGAGGAGAGTGTAACATCCCACGTAATTAGGAATATATATATAAATATATGTCGTTATTTAAATTACTACGAGAGTTATGGAAATTATGTTAAATTCGAATCATGTGCATTACATGCTGTGATTTCAGATTATATGACTCTTAGTATAGAATTAGTATTGAGGTAGGAATTATTGCATTATGAGGATAGATGAGACTTTATTTTAGGCATGTGGAATTTTATTAAAGAGTATAGGTATAATTAATTGTAACAAATAGAATGTTTAATAATGTTTGCCAAATGTGAGGACTCATTAACTAATGGGCTGACCTTAAAACAACCTAAAACATTGGACTTATACTAGTTGGACTCTCATCACTTGTGTAGGCCGACGGCCCATGTGGCTTGGGGAAGAATAGATTCAGCCCAACTTCCAACTATCTTAATTCTATCATAGTAATCCAATGAGGCCAAGCATGTGCGCCACCTATCCTCCTTTTTGTTTGCATGAATGTCAAATGGAAAATCCTATCCTTGTCTCTCCCCAATAATGCGCTTAGGGTAGAGAATAAGAGACCAAAAAAATAAATAAATAAATAAATAATTCTGATTTGGTTCCTAATAAATAAAACAAGTCAGCCACTCCTCCTTCCCTCATCACATGCGTATAAATAAGCTAAAAAGCTGACTTTACTTGCTATCTTATACAAACTAACCCAGCCTTTTCCTCCATGCATCCAATAAGTTTCCATGAGTCAGCCTGCATGTAAATTAAGTGGGCAGAATTGCCACCCACTTCCCACCTATGGAACGCAAAAGAGAGAGGGGTGCCAATGAAGAATTCTGGTCCCTGTACCATTTTTAAATCAGCTTCTCGAACCCTCACCTCCATCCCTTGAGCGCTGATGTTGAAGAAGAATAGGTTGAGACTTGCTATATTAAAACAGTAACAGACCAAACGCTACCACCTTTTTTTTTCCTCCCTAAACCGTGAGTGGAAAATACACCAAAGAAACACAAAAGTTTTGCATCACCATTCTCCATTCCTTGACCGTGCAGAACCGTGAGAAACATACAAGGAGAAATCACCAAATTGCATCTTGTTACACCTACTCGTTCATCTCAAAACCGTGGAACCACTTGAGGAATTTCCAAGCCTCTAATACAATTTCTCTCCTCCATTCCCTTGGCTGTGCGTCCTTATTCCAAGAGGTAAAGTGTGCCTCTGTTTCTCTACTCAATCTTTTGGACGAAGGAGACATTTCATTGTATGTATACAATGACTTAAGCTGATTTTTCCTCTTCTCACTCTTGCGCGCGGTCACCATTTAGAGGTGTGGAGCTGCTGTTTCGTGGAGCTTGGAAGGAAGCAGTGTCACTCCTTGTTCTATTCGATTTTCTTGTGTGCTGCAAGAGAGGTCAGCACAAACGTAGAACCTCCTCTCTTTATATTTCTAGACCGTGAAGCATGTTAGGAATGTAGTTTCCGTTTATTTATTCCTTTTGATTCTGCCGTGTTCGGTACCCTTGGACTCAAGTATGAAGACCTAAAGAAAAGTAACGTCGGAATAACCTTATCATAAATGTTGGGGCTGTTGGTGGTGTTATAAAGTAAAAGAATAAAACATCATGTTTGGACCCCCTTTAGAGCGCACTTAATATGGAGTAAATGTGATAGTATTAATTATCTTAAATGTTGGTTTAGATGATATCTTAAAAAATGTTATGTAACAATGCGATTTGAATAGCATACTTAAGCCATGTAGCGCACCATGTATGAAGTGTTTGGGTGTTGGGATAAGTTATCTTTCATGCTTTGTTGGGATAAGAATCAAATCTGCCAAATGAAATTGTCATGAGCTAGATCCTTTCTGATTTAAAGTACAGCATGTCGTTAGGCTGCCTTCCACACATTTTGGTCTTGCAAGCTAAAATTCTGCATACACGTCGTAAGTTCCTTATGTACCTAAAATAAATTCTGTTTGGTCAACCTAGATGTGCTCTAAGCTTCAAATAAATTAGAAATACAGCATGCTTAGACTCCCTTAAAGCGCACAGTACATGGATTAGTGGAGCTTTAGAATAAATTACCCGTGATGCTTTGATTAGATAAAACGCATTCTGTCTTGGTAAAACCTGATTTGGACTAGGTCCCTCTTGAATTAAAAATACAACATGACAACTAGGTCCTCCTTTGCGCACACCATGAGTAGAGAAACAGAAAATTTTATGAATAAAGTCTTGAATAATTTTTGTGTCAAAACCGATTCTGCCTTGGTTGGAAATCTTAATAAATTCTTGCTGTTAAACGTTGGTAAAGATTAAATTAAAGTCAGAATATATTTTTGGGAAAAGAACCATGATGGCCGAATGGGTTCAAGAGTCTTAAAACTTGGAAGATTATTGGTAACTCTTAGGAATAGCTTGGGACGTATTCTGATTTGTTCCACTTGTCAATTAGGTGCGCAAAACCATTGAGAATTTGGACTATTTCGCTGCTGTTTGGTAAATTTAATTGTGACGCGCGAGGTAAGTGTCTGGTGGCATTACCTTCTGTGACTGCTAGCTAGTACATGGATTGTGAATTGTTGCTCTCATGCTTTGGATTTAAATTCTATATGCGTCACCCGCATTCTGTTCATGGATATACTATGCTGAATCTAAATTCTGTATGCCTTATTCGCATTCTGTTTTGGAAAATAATTGTTATACAACATTTTGATATTGGAAATCCATGGGATATGTTATATGAAATACTACTTAGTCATGCATACTCATATCATAATTTTAGACTGTTGCTTTGTGTGCGGACCATTACATAACATTCATGCATAAATTTCATGCTGGATTCTAAATTAAAAATAATTATGAAAAGTAAGCATACGTTTTGAGCACGCATCATATAGGCATACCCCGGTACCAGGGTTCTGGGACACTTGGCTTCAGTCCGCTTAGGTACAGTTGGAGCCCTTCTGAGGAGCCACCAGGATTCTCCACTGTTCTGTTAGTGATACGTGCACAATAATGCTATGAACGTACACTTCTGGTGTGATATACGCAATATGATATTATGTTAGTGATACGTGCACCGTAGTGCTATGAACGTACACTTCTGGCGTTATATACGCACTTTGATCATGATTAGTATTTGATGGATCTGAACTGATGATGCGACTGTTTTGTAATTCTGTATCTGGTTAGTACTGTTGCATTTGGTTTTGTTATCACACTACTGGGATTTTTCTCACCCCTTTGGGG